GAGCTTTTAGCAGCGGGATGGGCGTCCCCTTGGTCCCTGGGGTGGGCGTTGGTGTTGGGGAGACCCCTCCCCAGGTCATCCATGGGTGCAGGGCATCCATGGGTGCTGTACCCACCCCGGGGGACCCATGGGGAGGGCAGGGCGTTGGTCCCCCCCCCTTCTCCAACTCGCCCCTTCCCCAGCCGCCCGCGGGTGATGGATGAATCACGGCAATTTTCCTTTTAAGGCTGGGCTCGGCGGGGAGGAAGCAGAGGAGGAGGAGGAGGAGGACACTCCTTCGGCCTCGCTGGCTCCTCCCGCTCTCGCTCGAGGCTCCGACGCTCAGCCAAAAACGAATCCCGGCGACGGGGCTCGGCAGAGGCTCCGACGGCTCCCGGCCCCGCTCCTCGCCCGAACGTCTGCCCCTTGCACCCGCGTCCCAACCATGGCAAGAAACCACCAAGTGCAGAAGGCCAAGCTGGCCGAGCAGGCTGAGCGCTACGAGGACATGGCGGACTTCATGAAGGCGGTGGTGGAACACGGGGACGAGTTGTCCAACGAGGAGCGCAACCTCCTCTCCGTCGCCTACAAGAACGTGGTGGGGTGCCAGCGCTCGGCGTGGAGGGTCATCTCCAGCATCGAGCACAAAACCGAAGAGGGGGACGACAAAGCGCAGCTGGTGAACGAGTACAGGGAGAAGGTGGAAAGGGAGCTGAATGGTGTCTGCAAGAACGTCCTGGCCTTGCTGGACAAGTATCTCATCAAGAAGGCGAGCGATCCCGAGAGCAAGGTCTTCTACCTGAAGATGAAGGGTGACTACTTCCGATACCTGGCCGAGGTGGCCACCGGAGACGACCGTAAGAAGACGATAGACAGCGCCCAGGAAGCCTACCAAGAGGCCATGGACATCAGCAAAAAGGAGATGCAGCCCACGAACCCCATCCGCCTGGGGCTGGCCCTCAACTTCTCCGTCTTCCACTACGAGATCGCCAACGCCCCCGAGCAGGCCATCTCCCTGGCCAAGACCACCTTCGACGAGGCCATGGGGGACCTCCACACGCTCAGCGAAGACTCCTACAAGGACAGCACCCTCATCATGCAGCTGCTCAGGGACAACCTCACGCTATGGACAGCCGAGTGCGCCGGAGAAGACGGCGGCGAGGCTGGCGAAGAGCCCAAGAACTGAACGGCCCCCGCGGAGCCGGGGACCGGCCCCCACCTGCCCTCCCCCCCACACACCCTCCAGTCCCTTCGGCATCTCTTCATGGTTTAAGTTTTGTTTTGGTCTTTTTTTGTTGTCTTTTTTTTTTGGGGGGGGGTGGGGGGAAGGTGTCTTGGCTCCCCCATGCCTCCTCCAGCCTGGATGCCGGGAGTAAAGGAGGGGGGGGCTGTGTGTGGTGGTTGCTGGGCGGCTTTGGCATATCCCCCCCCCTCCTTCCCTCTCCCCTATCCTCTTCCCTGGGGAGGGGGAAAGGAGGGAGAGGGGGTTCCTCCATCCTGGAGGGCTGCCAGTCCCCCACTATTTAACATTTTTTTGGGGGAGGGGGCTGCATGCCGGCTCCAAACCCCTTGTCCAGGAGGGCTGGATGTGCCACGGGAGGAGGTGAGGGGGTCGGGCTGGGGTGAGGGGGGTTCTGGGCAGCCTCCCCCACCCCCCCCAAATCCCAGGA